AAAGAATTAGGATTCCCAATTAGCTTTCAGTTGTTTTGTGTAATGCACATCACAGGACAGACACTTGTGTTAAAGTCAGTGTCTGTTAATAAAGAATTAGGATTCCCAATTAGCTTTCAGTTGTTTTGTGTAATGCACATCACAGGACAGACACTTGTGTTAAAGTCAGTGTCTATTAATAAAGAATTAGGATTCCCAATTAGCTTTCAGTTGTTCTGTGTAATGCACATCACAGGACAGGCACTTGTGTTAAAGTCAGTGTCTATTAATAAAGAATTAGGATTCTACTTTTGATATTTCTGTTTCTCTTTGTAGCTTTAAATTAATTTTGAGAATTTTACAAATGATAAAATTCTTTTTGAAAGTATTATTTCTCATGCAGAATGTTTTAGTTTCGTATTTATAATTATTCTGTATTATTTCAGATAGGTTAAAATTCTTTCTTGCAAAGAAACTTTCCCACCATAGTGTCTGTTTATATTAAAATTGATTTTATTCGCATGTGATACAGGTTTAGATACTAGCTGTGCAGTGAAGTTAGTTAAAAGTAACTGTAAGTGGAAGGACAAAGAGGATGTTTGCTACTACATCTATTCAGATTCTGAAGACATAGTAGATTGCGATGTTCCTCAACCATTGAGGTCTTCTACTGGAAGAAAAGTGTCTTTGGCACTCTTCCTTTTGTTTTTAGGAACTTACATACTAGGTAAGAATTGAAGTTTTTAAATACACTGTTATTACAAGTTTTCTTAAGATTTTTATAGCTTGAATGAGAAATCTCAATCGTCTTTTTTTTTTTCCAAACTTGAAAACATTTTTATTGAAGCTAGAAAAATTACAAATTAAGAATCACATCTTTTTGGTCTTAAAAATGTCATGGTGCCATTAATATAATTTGTGTATTTGTTAGAGTCAATAAGTATACGTTTTTAGTAACCAATTAATGGTTTTGTCTCAGATCACCTTCTCATAGTGTAAGCTGCTAGTGGAATATAAATTTCTATGTACATTATATTTAGTGGTTTACATGTCACTCTATGGATTTGTGGTTCTGATATGGTACTTACCTCCCCTTCGCTCACAAGAGTAGCCATTCTCGTTCAATGCTGCCCTCTATAAACAAACCTTTCTTTACACACGTCTCTCATCCAAATCATCATGCATCACCTCTTAACCAATAGTAGCATGGCATACTCAAGTAACGTGTGTGTGACTCCCTCTACACTCCTCTACCAAACCTTCACTCCAAAGTTTGGCAGAAGGTGTGAGCACCGGAGAAGTGTGGAGGAAGGGTGGGAAGTGTGAGAGGAAGTAAGTACCTCTCAGAAGTACATTTTCAGTATAGTGTTGAATGTAGGTAGTCCTTGAGTAGCTTTGCATGAATATTTGAAAACAAACAGTGACATTGCCATAATTATTATTTCATCTTAAACTTGAGAAACATGTATATTCTAATCAGCAAAAAACAAGTAATAATGAATCTCTTCTTTTTTTTTCCATTAGTTTGGCAGAGATATTTATTTGTTTTGGAATTTTTGTGCAAACCTATACAAAGGCTATTATTGCTCCTCAACTTATTTCTATTCAAAGTATCAGATAAAATGTACCATTGGAGATAATTTTCGATATTAGATACTAGGTTATGCTTATTTTCACTATTTGTTTGCTGTCACCAGTATTTCCTTTTACTTGAAGTAATTAAATTTTCTAATTTAATTAGTAAATAAACTGACTCCTGTGATGAGGTAGCTATGATATAATTTGTTGACGATTAATTGATTTCATAGCACCATTGAGTCTGATTATAATTATTTGGATAAAGAAATTTCTTAAAACCCCCTTTCTGTGTTTAATATAATCTTATTGTATCTTCATAACTATGACTATATGAATTTAAATTTGTTTCTGTTTACAGGTGCAGTATTTATAAGGGTTGTTTGTCAGTGTTATAGATATTCAATTTGTTTCTTTTTACAAATGTTCTATTTGTAAGTGTTATTTGTTGTCCTTAGGATTTAAACTTGTTAACAAAATTAGAAGTTTATTCTTCAACTTCATTTATCAGTTGTAAATGTTATTACTTAATTTAGAGAAAATGATGCTGTAATAAATGTTTTTAGTTATCATTTCAGGTTGTATTTTTCTGCTGTTATTTTTAAGAAGGAGAAGAAGAAATAGTGCCCTTGAAGAGTTGAAAAGAATGAATGCTGAAAAACGAAAAAGTTTATATGATAATTCTGCTGTAGGTAAGAAAGAGTTTAAATAATTCTTATTAGAAGTATCTCTTTTAGCTAGATGAAATCACACTTTTCAAGGATTTTAAAACTGTTTAAACAATTCAATATGTGAAAAGCAAAATAAACATTATATATTATGGTAGAATAGTTCATTAACAAGTTACTGCCCAGTATAAGCATCATTTAGAATTTAACCTAATTGTCAAAACAAATAATCTACACAGAGATTCTGTTTGTTTGTAGTTAAGCCTTAGAACTTGAGCTATCCATAATGCACTACAGCTACAGTTAAAAAAATTTCATTATCTTAGAATTGTAAAAGTAAGGTGATGTTTGTAATTAAGCACAAAACTACACAGTGGGCTATCTGTGCTCCTCCCACCACATGTATCAAAACTTGGTTTCTAGCATTGTAAGTCTGTAGACGTACCACTGTGCCGCTAGGGGGCGTATACAGAGACAAAATGTTTTCTTCTGCTCTGTCATATTTATGTAAATACAACTGATGAATAATGTAGGCTCAAGACCCAGTAATCAAATTTTTTTTTTTTTCATCACAAGCTATACTAAAAAAAAAGACAAAGTTCAAACTTACCTACTACGTGTTCTATTGTGTCATTTTTACGTTGATTGTCCAGTGGACCTTCATATATTTTTCCTTTAATCGTTCACATTGTATTTTTCAATACTAAAAATGTAACAATGTTTGTAAATGTAAAGCAAAAACGTGAAGGACAAATCAATGCTAATCGTTTTTTACACACACTATTTATGAAACTTTTGATATGAGACACCAAAACAATAATGTAAAACAAGCATTATAACTCTACTTTGATAACGAGATCCTAACACTTAAGTTCTGAATTTATATCTTGGAAGTGTAGCATTATTAGTCAATATTAATGAAACACGCTAAACCAGCTCTAAAACAAAACAACCATGAAGGCCATTAATGTAACACTGAATAACATAGGTAATCTTCTACCCAGAGTGTTGTATGCTACAGGTTGAGAAATCATCTTTATTCATGCTGAAAGTTCAGAAGTGTTGCTAAGTGCTTAAAAGATTCAGGGCTCGGACTCACAAGTGCAGGAATTTTCAGCATTTCAGTATGATATCAACCATGGTTTTCTGTTCTGATTTTTCAAGACACAAACTGGGGATTCAGAGCACTGTCAAATAAAAATTGGGCATGGTACCCATGTGCCTGTGCCAAGTGATGCGTTTGGTCCAGTTTCCTCTAATTCGACATTGTGGACGACATTATTGGCTATGAAAGCATTTCCTCCAACCAATCAAACTAAGGAACTAAACATCCTAATTACACATTACAAACCAACAGTTTTCTTGTACAATCTCCAGCTTATTAGCTATTTACTATAAAAATTTTTGTTTATTAAGAGTGAAATATATGAATATACCATGCATTTCTTTCTTGTTGTATTGTTATAGTATTTATTCTTAATTTATCATTTGTTCTGTATGAATGCAGGTATCACATAAAACATGGCAAAAAAGCTATTAATTTTAAGTCGATTTCATTTTAGCTGCTTTTGTTCCTTTGTTATTCTTGAGAAGCTTATTCATGTTTTGTCCAGGGAACATTGTGTGCATTATGCAAGGATTTTGAAAGCAATTTCCTTCATTGGTAGTTGCTCTGGGTAAAACGACTTTTGTCGAAGTAAGGAATGTTGGGTTTAGTCAGTCTTGTACACAAAATCGACTTGATCAGTTGAAGAAATACATTAAAAACTATCATCTCATTTACTACTTTATTATTTTTCTGTTACTACTTTCATCAACAGTATTGGTTGGAATGCTTAATACATCTAACTTTATTGTTTTTAATATTAAATTTATTATTATACTTTTGTTATTGAGATTTTTTGCATTTTTACCTCACTAGATGTATTTAGCACTAACCTAAATCTCCTGAGTCTGGCTGAACCTCACAAGATATTATTTGGTTTGCAGCTGCAAATATTGTTAACAGTACCCAGTTGATAGAACAACATATACTAATTTATATAAGTAAGAATGTAAGAAAAGTATATTTAACTAGCTATACTCATTACCATGTTAATTTTTAGTTTTGCTCTCTATAGGTGGCTTTCTCTGATAAGAAATGAATAATAATTCATAATAAATAACCTGACAGAATCTCGTGTTATTCTGAGTGTCTATCCGCTTGATCTTAAGCAAATTCAATTTTACTTAGATATACCCTAGATTCAAATAATAACCTGAACTACGTATTGAAACCAATATTTATAATTCAAACAACAAAAAAAACTCCTTGCTTAATACTTAAATATGCAGTTTAGTAAAAAAATAAAAGTCTAATTTTGTTCTTTTTTTTACATTTTTGATCATTAAATACAATAATCACTTCTTTGTAACTCTACTTATTTAACATCAAGAATAACAGTATTATTCCGTTGTCACATTTTTTGCGAACGCTCTTGTTAACTTTACCTTATATATTGCTCACGTGTAGAGATTGCTACTCTGTGTTGTAACATTAATGTAACAAGTACTGATGCAGTCAACTGTTAACATTTATTTTACTTGCAGTCAGCATTTAATTAAACTTGTAATTAAGGTAGAACTACTACCAGAGGATTGTTTGCCATGTGCTCTCTGCATTATAAAGAAATGAGCACTTTTAATCAATAAACAGATACATGAATTTTAGTCTCAATCGACTTTCAAGAATAAGAGGTACTTATTGTAGTATTCACTGATTTGCATATGTCTATATGAGGTGAAGAAACAAAAAAAAAGGCAGAAGATGAGTTTATTTTATTAATTTTTTAAATTATGAAATATCATGTATTATTTTTCTTTCATATTTTACCAGTCTTTTCGGGGTTTTGTTTATCTGTTCTTTGAATTATAATCTTCAGTTATCACATACAAATAGTTATTATAGCTTTATTAGAAAGACTCATAAATTAATTAATTTCTTATGTTTTATAAACACTTTGAATTTTATCATTTATGACCAGTATTGAAAACATGGTTTGATACTATCTATCATGAAAGCTCTTACTGGGAAGTGAAAGATATAGCCTTATGTCATCTGGCACAGAAGATACAAAATAAATTAACATTCTTGAAGTATTAATATACTCTCAGATCCATTCAGTAAATGCAGTAGTTTAAACTGGCTGTTTTGCGTCAGTGTCTTTGATATGGTATTTTTGATTAGCATATTCTGTAATATTCTGTTGTACTTAATTTTTAAAGATTACAGTTTATTACATGAACTTGTGTTTTTTGTGCATCATTGGTATGTATAAAATAGCAAATTCTAGAAACTTCCTAACAAAGCATAGACTCTTGATATGTCAAATCATATCCTGCCTTTAGCCATAGAATGGGTAGGCCGTGAAGATCCTCGCTGTGTGGTTGTCAACCTGTGTGCAGAGTTGAAGAACATCAAAGTCAGTTTGTTGACTGGTGAAACTGTTCGTCATATTGATCTCTCTAGAATACATACTCTGGAGGTGCTGGTCAGCACCAGTGAAGAACGTGACAAATTACTGATCAGAGTTTCTCGTCATTATGATTTGGTAAGACAGATTGTATTTTAATTAATGGTATGTTTAAGACAGATCGTATTTTAATTAATAGTATGGTAAGGCAGATCGTATTTTAATTAATGGTTTTGTAAGACAGATTGTATTTTAATTAATGCTATGGTAAGACAGAGCATATTTTAATTAATGGTGTAGTAAGACAGATTTTATTTTAATGAATGGTTTCTTAAGACAGATTGTATTTTAATTAATGGTTTTAATGCAATGTATTATATTTTATTTATGGATTTCTGAAATTTCTTGTTTCATTTTATAACCAAAAAAAAGGTTTTAACCTCCAGAGAAAGCTATTTACTGAACCTTTTGACTTTTATAAATCATTAAAGATGGACAGGCACTAACATGCTACAGCATTTTTACTTGAAAAATGAGTTGCTTATTCCAGTATTCAGTACATTACTTAAATACTATTACTAACCTTGCATGGCCAGGTGGTTAGGGCACTCGACTCGCAATCTGAAGGTCGCGGGTTCGAATCCCCATCCCACCAAACATGCTCACCCTTTCAGTCATGGGGGCATTATAATGTGATGGTCAATCCTATTATTCGTTGCTAAAAGAGTAGCCCAAGAGTTGGCAGTGGGTGGTGATGACTAGCTGCCTTCCCTCTAGTCTTACACTGCTAAATTAAGGATGGCTGGCGCAGATAGCCCTTGTGTAGCTTTGCACAAGATTCAAACAAACAAACAATTACTAACCTTTATTTCTTTACAAATGAAGCCAAAGAACTAAGAAACCTTCCAGTACTAGTTCAAAAATTACAAAAATCACAAACCTCAATTCAAACTGATAAATGAGCTGAGTAAAATCTAGTGATGAAGATTTTGATCTGTAATAAATGCTGTGCTCAACATGCTTTACTCTTTCAGCTGTATGGAAGTGATATGGCTATGATGGTAAATCCAACTGTTTTGTTAAGAATAGGCAATTTTTACTGTTTCCTCCTCTCTGCCCAACATATGGGTCTAAATTAGGTTTTGCTCAATTCTCAACATTCGTGTGTTGCATAAGGTGTCATTCAATTTAATAAACAAAAAAAAGTCTTACTGTTGGCTGGAGTATTGTTTTAACAATGAATAAAAATAAGAAAAACAAGCTTAACATAAAAACTAACTATTTTAGATATTGTGAACAAATATATTGTACTGAAATTTTAACTCCTTTTTTTTAATCATATGGCATAAGGTTATTGTATTTTAATACATTGTACAAAAGTTACTTATATTAAAAGGTCCTGGCATGGTGTAATAATTAGAGTGCTTGAATCTGTGCAATCTGTGGGAGGGGGTCTAAACCAGGAGCTGAGTATGGTTACTCTTTCCCCAGTAGAAGCATTATAATATGAAGGTCAATCCCACAATTTGTTAGTAAAGAGTAGCCTAGGAATTAGTAGTCTAGTCTGCCATCCAGTTGTCCTCTCCATGGTCAGCAGTTCAAAATTAGGGATGGCAACAAATAGTCTTAGTAGCTTTGGCATTAACAAAGCATAAAAATATATATTAAATATGCTTTTGTAAATTAGTTCTCTGTATCAGTGTTCCTTCAGAATTACTTATATATATTTAGTGAGATGAAAGAAATTTTAAACATTATATCATAATTAGGTGGTAGAGAAACTAATAGAGTTAGAAAATGAAGAAAATGGATAAAAAATTAGATGCAACCATTCGTATAAAACACTTTTATTAAATCTTGTTTCTTAATTTTCAACCTAACCAGCGTATAAAATAATAGGTCGCCAAAAAATAATTTTTCATGGAAAGTTGGTGTCATACATGTTCATTGTGGTCAAAGTTAAAATATTGGATACTTTACACTTGAATAAGCAAAAACACAAACAGTGTAAAGCAAATATGCACAAAAAGTGAATTAAAACAGTACATAATTTTGTTACTTATCAACTCCAGTCATAATATCACAACAAGACTAACCTTCTAAACCATTTTATAAAATGCTGAATCAAATTTTAGATTTAAGTTGAGTAACAAGATCAATACCACGATAAACTGAGAGCTGAAATTTCAACTGCACTCTAATAATCCTAGTTAAGAAGCTAGAAAAAATAAACACAGTTCTTAGTTGTCATTCATAAGGTGAGTTTATGTGTTTCATATTTTACAGTTTTCAACTCTGAGATAAGAAGAAGGTCTAATTACTAAATTCAACAAGAAAAACTGAATATGTTAGGATGAAAAAGTGTAAAATTGTGTGTGTGTTTATCTGTTGTATTTGTAGGTTCACACCTTTAACAATGTTTAATTAAGACCTGTTTAAAATTATTGTTAGGTTCTTTTATTTGAAAACACCTCCTATCGAGAAAGTTTCCTTCAGGACTTGGAAAAGTTTTTAGGTGACATAGGAGTTGGAAGACAAAGACTAAATGTTACTAACTACCATATACAGAGAGATGCCTTAACAAAAGCTGATAGACAAGCACAACTTGAAAAATTTCTTCGTGTTGTTTTTGCCCAGGTGAAGTCTTATTTTTGTAATAAAATAATTACCTCATGAATAATCACCACCAGTATAATTGTTGTGGAATGCTTTACCATAAGTCTTTTTAGAAATCCCAGTAACTGTAGATACATGTGCTAGGTGTTTAGAAATAACATAATAAAGTGAACTGACTATGTTGGATTTCTATAAACTCAATGGCCTTTCTTGTCCTCACTGATCTTACAAATCATTGCTGGTTATCACTAGACTTGGTGATCTTTTTAGATAATTATAGACTATGAGATCTCCTTGATCTCAGTAATTTTATGTATTCTATTTCATGTAAACATTTATTGAACATTCAGTAATAAACTACTAATACTTAGGAAGCTGTTATATGTCATATTAGATTCAAACGATGATCACCAACAATAAAAAAAGACATTAACATAAGCTTCAGAAAAGTGATTGAACAACTTTTCTATGTGTTTCCGATTCTTCAGTACTTAATATGTCTTCTCTTAGTCAGTGACCCTCAAAGAACATATGAAGTGGCAAGAAAATTTTTGGTACAGTTTATATTACATCTCAAATGAAAATATTCGTGTAAACTTACTTATGTTCCTTTAAGTTAAAGTATGCTTGTATAAAACGTTTATAAGCACTGTTGGTAAGTGCTCGGGAATGCTCCCACAAACTCCTATGGTGTCCCCAAATTCATATACGTGTGAGTACTCCTATAGTTACAAAATTAGGAGAAGAAAGACCAAGCAAGTATTTATTTTATTTTGAACCAATTAATTATTTTATTTCACTCCAATCAATTGTTTTATGTTGTCACAGTAGACTTCTCACTTTATATCAAAGTACAATGTACATCAATCAAATCAAAAGACTTCTCACTGTACTCAAAGTACAATGTACATCAGTCAGAAAGAAAAACTTCTCACTGTACTCAAAGTACAATGTACATCAATCAAATCGAAAAACTT